ATCTGCATTCAGGCAGCTCCAGATCTTTTAGAATTCCAGGTTTCTCTCAAGGGGTATGTGGTCCAAGGGCAGGTGTCAGGGAAACACAAGGACTTTTTTAAAAGACCATTTTGTACATAGTTGGTGAGATGAGAAGATGAACTGGTCAACTACAGAGGACATTGGGACTTTTTTCTATTATGCTCTAAACCAAGAGTTTTTAACCTATGGTCTTTGAACTTTTTTAAAAAGAACTTACAACTACATTCAACATAATTGCTTTCCTTTGTACTCCCTTATGTTTTATTTTATTAAAACACGATTTTTAGAAAGGCCCTTTGAGAATCGAATCTCTGCCCACATAGCTACTACCCCTATTTTACTGGTGGGCAAAATAAGGCTTTACCAGGCTGCGAGAGGAGGCCATGATGCTGAATGGGTTAAGAACCCACTGGTCTAGGGAGACTCAGGAATGGGAGGTGGTTTGAGGGGCAAAAGTTGGTGCTTGCCTATTACCCTGAGAGACATCTCAGAAATTCCCCAAGCCTGTATCATGGTAAGCATCCAATCCACAGGACTGTCTTCTTGCCCACCTGGGCCAATGTGATGGAGTCAAAAGGGCTCTGCTGCGTTGGAGTTTGGAAGGCTCGGGTTTGAATCCCGCTCTTGCTACATCTTGCCTATGGGGCCTAGGGCAAGTTTCTTTTAACTTCTTTGGGCCCCAGACCCTCAATTATAAACTCGAGGGTCTGGTCTAGATGACCCCTAAGATACCTTTAAGCTCTAAGCCTATGTCTACTCTACAAAGGCAATTGGGTAATCCTTCCCCTCCCTTTGCTCCCCCCCCCAATAAAAACCCCTCAAAGGATTTTTGCAGACTTCTTTTCACAGGCAGAGGGTGAACAGGCAAAAACTATTTTATGAAAAATTAGCCCTTAGGACATAGTAGACCAGTTTCTGTTTGAAATCAGGGAGAGGGATGGGAAATGTGCCTTTATTGGCATAAGGGACTCCTGGATGAAGAAAGTCGCTCTACCAATGCAAATAAGTATTTTTCTGTGATTTATGCTCTTAAAGGGTTACTTAGAAGTAAAGTGAATTGCCCAGGATCACACAGCCACTATGTGTCAGAGGTGAAACTTGAACCCAAGGCTTTGTAGCCCTAAAGTTTGCTCTCTGTCCATTATGTCACATTACCTGTCCCCTCATGATCTTAATTTTTTAACTGAGGACAAAACACCCAGGGACTTTGGAAAGGAAAGGGAGAAGGGCATTCCATTCTCTTTCCTGCAGTAATATTTGACTTTCCCAGAAACAGCCCCACTGTTTTATCATGTCTTTCCCTCTCATGTTGGTTGGGAACACATGAAAGTAAGAGGCAACATTTAGGGAGTTTTACGGCAGAATCAGAGTCTGTCAGCTTCTCTGTAGATGGCTAAACCAGAGAGAAGAACAAGAGTCTTTGTCTGGAAGGTCAAGGGTTAACTAGGCCAGTCTCCATCAAACGGCATTTGGCAAGCTCTTGAGGCCACCCTGGGAAAGTGAGACCCCATTGGAGTGTGTGGCATTCTTCAGCAAAATACTCCTAGTGCTTTACCACTTGGATAAAAAAAGAAAATGTTTCCTAAGAAGTTCATCCAGCCCCTTTAAATATTGACCATCTGCTGTCCTAGTGCCCCCAATCTGAAGGATAGCATTACCAGCGTCTGAAGCAGCTTGTATGGGCAAACTCAGCTGTCTTAATGAGTCAGCCTCTTGGACGGAGGAGGCTGGGGCTAGCTAGACTAGTTCAGAACTTCAAAGCCTTTTGAAGAACACCAAAATGGTGATAATTTTTGCTTTAGAATCATAGAAACTGAGGCCTGGAAAGGTCCTTTGAGTCCAATCCCTGCCCCCACATCTACTACCTCCATTTTACTGATGGGCAAAATAAGGCCTAGAGAAATGGTATGACCCCCTCAGATTCACAAAGACTGTGTTAATGATAAGACTATAAGGCAGAGGCCTCTGCAACTCCGCACGTGAAATGAAGAGATCTGAGGTTCAATATTATGATTCAGTCATCTGTGCTCTTATCATGGGAGTGCAAATGCTTCTTTCACCACTAATAATGTTTCTAAACTTCATTTTTATCATTGGTATACAGGCTGATTTAATTTTGTAGAGAAATAGCATATAGCATAGAGGAGTTTCCTCTTCTCTGAAATGAAGCGGTTAGCCCAGTTGACCCCTCAAGGTGACTCCTAGCTCTCAGATTCCACGACCCTTGGGAGGAGTGCCCCAGTCAGGTTGACTTGGACCCAGAAGCATAGTGGTAGCAAACTGTGACTCTTGCTGGGTCTTCCCTCTGCCAGAGAAGTCCATTGACACAGGTTCCTCCTCCTTCCTGCACACAGCTCAGCCCTAAATCACTGGGTACCTTTGATTAGCAGAAGAACCAGATATACTGGACCTGCTGCTCTCCAAGGCACTCTCTTTGAGATTTTGCATCTACCCATGCCCAACTTATTTGCTTCTTCCTTTTGAGACCCTGGTAAAAGGACAAGGTTGGGTCCTACTACATCTCAGTCAACAGCATTGACTGGCTGATTGACTGACCTCAAGGAGGCTTTTCTTTCTGAACTATCTCCAGAGCCTGACATTCAAAGCACTTCCTTTTCTAGGGAATCCTCAGAGGGAGTGTGAGTTTACTCTGTGTGTCTCCATCACTGATTTACTAAAAAAAAAAAAATGTTATGGGATAGGGCCCCCATCCTGTGGCTATTCCTCCAAATGCTGCCTTGAAAGCAGCAGGCAGAAGAATCAGACCCATTGTCTTGTAGCAAATTCAGATGTCCGGTTTATTGGTTACGTTCTCGGGATAGTAGTGGCAGGATTCAGTTTGCCTCTCGGTAAAAAGGCAAGGAAGTGAGCAAAATGGGAGGGCAGCCTTCCCAAGCTGGAAGGAAAACACCACAGAAAGGACCAAGAACAGAGAAGCTCATGCAAATAAAGGCAAAATGAGTGAGGTGTCTCTAGCAAATGGATAAAGAAGGAAATCTCTGTAATGGTCAAGTAAAGAACAGAGCCAGTTGTCTGTGACTCAGGAAGAAAGGACGAAGAGATGGAGCGAGCTAAAGAAGTAGAATGGGACCAGGCAAGTTTCTGGCAAGGTCTCTAGAAGATTCTCCTGGGCAGAGTAGCTGGGTTTTCTCTTGAATTTTCAGAAACACTTTGTCATTTTCTGCTTTAATGTCAACTGGTTTCCATTATTACTCTGGATCAAGTGAGCTGCCAGCCAGAGAATTTGGGGTATTACGATAGGTATGAGAAAGGTCTTCAGGTGTGTTGGCAGCCCATCCACTGCCTCTGAGTCAAGGGGAGGATGGCATGGCATGTGACCAACCCTGGGCTGAAATGGTCAACTTGCCTGGCTCCTTCTGGTCCATCCAAGAGGAGTAAGAGAGAGGCCATGTAAGAACACAACAGGACACAGCAGTGGAATAAGCCAACAGTCAGAAAGGAAAAGAAGTCTGCAGTCGCCCAGAAACATCATGCTCATTTCAGCCTTTCTTTGCGTAGCCTCCAAACACAGGTCTGCCTACGGCCATGGAGATCCCTCATGCGGTAGAGCCCATCCCTGCAACCCCACTCATGCTGCCTTTCACTCCCACTGACTGTGACTAGGCACTGAACAGAATTAGGTCTGTGCACAGCTCAGCCTCCCTGCACAGACCCATCCCTGTCTTCTGTTCCCTGCCTTGGCTTAGTGTAACACCTGGATGTGCCCACAGCTATCGGCACTGGTGGAGTACATCATGTAAGCCAAAAAAGACAAAAAGGGAAAAAAAGAACAAGCAATCGTTGGTTGGCTTGTGAATTTCTCTTTCACACTTGACCTTGAACTCCCTGGAAGCCCCTGCTTTCTTGCTAGCCCTTCCCTCCCTCCTCTCAGTGCCAAACCTCTGAATAAGCCACCAGCCACAGCCCTGAGGAGGGCAGGGCAGGGCAGGGCAGCTGGGGCTCTGACTGAGGATGTGGACGTTCAGAGAGAGCTGACAGTACTAAGCATCTCACTCCTCCAGAGTTCGGCAAGGAAACCCAAGCCTTGGCTCTTAGCACTGATTGGTTAAAATAGGAAGCTACTGAGAGCACTTCTTCCTGTAGTAAGGGAAAGTTTGTAGCCCCACTCCAGGTGGGCTCGTCCTCGGCCAGACCCTGCCCTGCTCTCCTCTCTTCCCCCAACTGAATTGTCTTTAAAGAGGACACATCTTGTGCTACTACCCCAGGGGCTATCATTGCACCACACTGCCAACGTCCCTCCAAGTCACATTCACAGGATCGTAGAATCACAGATTTAAAACTGGAAAGATTGATCCAGTCCAATCCCCCTCATTTTTCAGATGAGGAAACTGGGGCCCGGGGAGGTTAAGTGACTTGCCCAAGGTCACACAGCAAATAAGTGCCCGACGCACGATTTGAACCCAGGTCTTCTTGACTCCAGGTCCAGGGTGTGCTACCCCTGACACCATAGCTGCCTCTCAACCAGGAGCCTGAGGAGTGCAAATGAGAATGGAGCTGCTAGTTTTGTGAATTCCCTTCCTATAGTGTTAGAGGAAAAGCCTATGTTGGGGGGGGGGGAAGAAGCATATTAGATTTTCCTTGTATTCATCACGTTAAAGAAAAGCTACGTCCTAATACTTAATAAGATATCCCACTCTTTCTCTGGCCTAACGCATAAAACCTAGCAGTCCTGCCGACTTAGCAGAATGGCTTCTGTCTACTGGGGCTGCCGTGGATTCGAGGTGTATAAAAGGAGAGATATGCCTCACAACAGTGCTGTGTCCATCTTCGACCTATTTCAAAATGGTAAACTCTTTGGACTCGGCTGCGTGCTGGCCCAGCTGCTGTGATTAACTATGCTAAGGACTCTGCAGGGCACGCGCGGTGCCCGAGCACACTGCAAACGAACCCTTGCGAGCCACTCGGTCGCTGTGACATTACTCTTCTGCAATATGGTTTCCACAAGACGGTTTCCACACCTGAACTGTGACGCCGCTTCTCTTGGCCGAGAACTTGGGCCTTGGAGCCACAAAGTAAGTGGCGGGGGCCGACTCGGGCTTGGGAGAGGTAGGCAGGGCTACGTGCACCGGGGACACCGGGGACGCCAGGGACGGGCTAACTGGCGTGGCGGCAGCCTCAGAGTAGTAGGTGGGCTGGGCGCTGTAGGCTGGCACGGAGCACACGGAGGAAGCTCGGAAGGTGGGGGCTGAGCTAGCGTTGACCGGCTGGGAGGAAGGAGCAGGCTTCAAGACTGGCACCGGAGCGAGCTTGGCCAGGGGCTTGGGGACTGGGCCGTCCTTGGCATCCGGAGGTTGGAAAGTGAATAGAGACGCATCGAGCTGATACGGTTGGTGTTTCATGACATCTAAAGCATTGAGAGGCTTCTTCCCCCTCTTCTTGCCTGGCTTGGAGGGGGCCGCAGCTCCGGGCTGCTGCTTGATCGCCGCCGGAGGGTAGGATGGAGAGAGGATTGGATTGTAAGCCACGGGCGGCGGGGCTCGCACGTTGGAGGAATATTTCCAAGAAGCTGGTAGAGATGGAGTGGGAGACTGAGCGCGGGCCATGTGGGCCTGTACTTTTTCCGAGTCTACCACGTACTTCTCCATCCGAGACTGCCTCTTAGCAAAGAGCTGGGCCCCTTTGCCTCTCATTTCTGGCAGCTCGCTCGGTGGTCCCGCCCCAGAGACCGGCGTGGCGTTTCCTGCAGGCATCACTTTGGGTGTGTAGTTCACACTGGCCACTGCTGCTTGAGGGCCTTTAAAGGGACCGGCCACACTGGGAGCACTCGGGGGCTGGTAAGCGGTGGAAGCAGGCCGAGCTATTTTAATGGCAGATGCAACTATTCCCTGGGGCCGGTTTGAAACAGGGAACGCGGGAGGTTGGCTAGGAGCTGCTGTGGATGGAGACCAGACCGGGGAGACGGGAGTGACTGGCTGAGAGGGGGACGGTTTGGCAGAAGGTTTGGGAGCGACAGGAGGAGGGGTCTTCTGCTTCGAAGAGTGGCCCTGCATGAAGTTGCAAGCCTCTGCTCCCAGGCTGAGGTAGTCTTCTTCCGGTCCTGACTCGAAGCCGGCTCCAGGACCTCTCTTGCCCTCTGCGTTTTGCACGAGTGACAACAGTTCAGGGTTAGGACTGACCTTGGGGTGCTCTTTGAAGGTAAACATGGGCTTCGAGGCGCCCCTCCGCCTGGCCTCCTGCAATATGCCCGTTCTCTTGGCTGGCACAGCAATCCTTTCATCCCGGGAAGCGATCTGTTCGGTTGGCTCATAAAAAGCCTGCTGGGCCCACGGGGCTGGCTGGGGCCATGGAGGTGGCTGTGCTGGGGCAGCTACGGGGCTGGTCACCCCTCTGGACAATACTTCTGGAGGAGGGGTTACCGCAGAGTAAGGGGGCGGCGCAGGAAAGTCATACAGAGGACTTCCTAGGTTTCTGGTAGGGGAAAATGGCACCGCGGCCTGGTTCGCTGACCCTGGAAAGGGCTTGGCCGTCCTGTTGGAGGCTGCCAATCTGTGGGCCTCGGGCATGTCTGGGGCTCCACTCAAACCATTCTGTTGAGCTGTGTGGCTTCCTTCCAGGTAGCTTTTCGCCACGTTGCTCTGCATTCTCATGCTTTCTTCTTCTCTCGTCTGGTAGGAAGTGACTGTTCTCAGCCCATCTGCTTGGCCACCCTCGAATTCCCCGCGGGCCACTCCCTCTGCCTTCACCTCCCCTTGCTGAGCCGTGATCTGGTCCATTCTTTCCCTCCTCTTGGCAAACATGAGGACGCCCTTCCCCGAGCTGTCTGGCAGCATCTGCATCTTGTCTCCACTTTTCAACTTCTTCTCAACGTCTACCAGGCCAGAGTCCCAGTCCGAGGTCCACACTGGGGCTTCTTTGTCGTCGTCAGCGTCCGAGACGATCTCTTCATCTACCTCCGACTCGCTCGTGAACTTCACTTCCACAAGCCCGTCTTTTTCGCTTTCTTCCTCGGTGTCGGCTTCCCGCTGAAGTTCTCCAGTGCCGTAGCTGATCAGGGTATACTTCTTCGCCCTCCGGCGGCGCTTCTTAAACATCAAAACCCCCTTGGAGTTGGGGTTGAGGGCATTTGTGAGGAGGAGGGCAATGCTCTTACACTTGGACTTGGCTTCCTTCACCTGTTTCTCGGACAAGCTTTCGCTCCGCCGGAAGCCTGGAAGAAAGACGGAGAGATTACAGAAATGAACAAGGTCAAGGGAACCGAAGCCGCAGTTAGCCCCGAAGCCGGGGCTGCTCCTCAGTTAACGAGACGATGCTTCTCCTGTCTCGGGAAACTCCACCTGAACCATCAGCCCGGGAAAGGACAGAGTTTCGATGTGTCATTTATTTGTTACAAAAGGGAAGTCTCGTGCCAAGGGAGGAGTCTGCTCTACCAGTGTGGACACAAAAAAGGAAAAAGAAAAGAGCAGCCACAAAACATTAACAAAAAAAAAACCGCAGAGGGGAAGACAAAAAAATTCGTAATGGGCAAGGAATAGGGAGATTTTGTTACTACCTTGTTAAATCTCATAGAACTCTAAAAAAAAAACACCTGTGTACCCGTGATTCCTGTTTTCATATACAATTCCTTTTTGTTCTGAAATGTTTATGTGTGTATACATAAATGTATGCATATTTGCAACACGATATTATTGAAAATACTTGAGCACAATATTAGAGGAAATAACAGGAAATTCGTTTTGTAACAGTGACCTGATCAACACAAGCACCATAAACAATACAATTCCTGAGCATTAACAATAGCCAATACAGGGAAGATGGGCCATAATTACTTACGGATTGAAAGGACCAAGTTCTGGGGCCAGCAACTTGGTATAATCCTGGTTTCCTAGTCATAGTATTTGGAAAGAGACAGAAGCTGGTTCTCCATGCATGTAAGCAGAACTGGATATAAATGAAAGATTTGACTGGTTTCATTTACTTTGGTCAACCTAGACAGACCCATAGGAAACAGAAAATGAAAAAATACCTACTCAGGGGTGGAGGGTCTTTGGCCAGTGGCCACATGTGGCCCTCTGGGTCCTTTATCTGCCACCCTTGACTGCATCCAAACTTCACAGAACAAATCTCAGATCCTTCCTCATAGAGATATCAAAAATGTGGAGCCACAGGGAACCTTCAAAGTCATCTACTCCTAACATTCTCCTTAAATAAATGAGGAAATAGAAGGCCAGAGAAAAGAAGGGCCTTACTTAAGGTAATGCAGGTAGCAAATGAGTCAGGATTTGAACCCAGAACCTCCGGTGCCAAACCCATGACTCTGCTTCACCCATTTGCAAACTATCGTAGTAACTGACATGCATTATTTCCTTTGAACCTCACAACAGCCTCATGAGGTAGGTATGGAGGTATTATGCCAATTTTCCAGCTGGGGGGAACTGAAGGGTTAATTGACTTCCCAAAGGCTACACCTCAAGTCAGACTCAAAAACAGGATTTGAATCCTGGTCTTCCTGTTGCCAAGGCTAGTACCACCCTTTCACACACAAATATTGAAATTTTCTCACAGTATCTTTCCTAAATGTCTTTCAAGAGGAGGGTTCTCAAGAAGATTTCAGTATCAAAATTGCTCTCATGGAACCCCTAGAAAGAGCCCTGATCTATGGGACCAGGATTCAAATTCCAGCTTGGCTATTTATTACCTGTGTGACCTTGGGCTGGTCACTTAATATTTCCAGTCTCCATTTTCTCAATAGCAAAATGGATTAGATCAGGGATTCTCCACCTGCTTGATGTCACAGACCCCTTTGGCCATCAAGTGAAGCCTATGGGCCCCTTCTCAGAATAATGTTTTTAAATGCATAAAATGAAATGTACAAGATTGCGAAGGAGGCCAATTCTACTGAAATACAGTAATCAAAGTATTAAAAACAAAACAACTTCAGGGACCCCAGGTTAAGAACTTCTGGACTAAATAAGATCTGAAGTCTTGCCAGTTCAAGTCTCTGACCCTATAAGTCTCCATTCCTTTCCACCTCCAAATCTAAGAGCATAACCTATGTCAAAATTTCATTTTTATCATGACTAGTTCCAAAGTCACTTACAGAACTACTAACTCAACATCTATGAAGCAGATAGCATCAATGCATTTAAAAAATGTAGGACCCAAATGTTTACAGACCAATCTAATAATCATTCTTTTCTTTTTTTTTTTTTTACCAGATTTGTGATTTCACTGAGTCTGGTTATCAGGGCATTTCAGCACCTCAGTAAATTTAAAGTCTGGGAGAGTGGCACAAGGCACTGAATAATAAAGTAAGTTAATTAAACAGCTTACTCTGAATCACAGACCAAATATTTATCAAAGGAAGCACTTGAACCCAGGTTTTGCTGACTCTGAGAATGGCTCTCTAGTCACACTATACACTATTCCAAGATACCTCCTGATTAAAAAAAAATTTACATATCTACAGAAATTTTAACTCACATTTCAAGTACTCCTTCAACTCTTACAAAGGTAAATGTTAGCCATAATAAATTTCATAAGGCATACAAACTACTGTGATTTTAAAATTTGATTGGGATTGGAGGAGAATGGATCATATAACATCCACTAGATTTCAACATTTTAAAAACATAACCTACTTTTCCCAAAGTTTCTTTTGTTAGATATTAGCTATTGGCGTTAAAAAAAAAAGATTTGGCCAACAGTTTGATTTCTAACTCTATTTGCTTAGTTCTTTTTTAAGGATCTAGTAAATATTTGTCACAAATTAGAAACAAATTCAAGTGGCTTTGAATTTCACAAAAGAGGTAAGTCTGTTTCTTATTTCTGAAAAATCAAAGGAAAGATATACTTAGTTCTCACCAGCACTGGAAGGAACATTACGCCAGACAGACCTAAGAGCTTACCAGAAATAATTCTGTCATCATGACACAATGATTTTATGAAATCAAGTTGCTGAGATTCTCCAGTGTTCCCATTTTATGGAGGGACAGAGAAGCTGGGAAGGCTGAGCTCATGCAGAATTCCTGTCTCAGGTCCTCTGGAAACTGAGCCCCAAGTGCCCAGTTGTTACTGCCTTGGGTGCCAAAATTTAAAGTATGTGAACTCTTCTCTCTGACTCCCCTTTAATGCATTATAAATGGGCTGATTACATATAGATGCTTACAGCACAAGCCACAGCCGGCTCCACATGCCACCGAGGACACAGGTGGCTCTGCTAAAAATATGCCCTGGAAGGCATTAGAATTGGGTGCTGCTACTCCCAGCATCCCTGATTCCAGACTCTTTGAAGATAGCCCTCAAATTCCTCCCCAGGATTCTTGACAGAATCCACAAAGGAAACCTCAAGAGCAGTCACGGACTGCCCCACTCCCTTTCACGGGGAAAGCACAGAGGCTTGTCTTGCCTTTACTACTTTCCTTCCCGATAACCCCCTCCCTTCTACTACTGAGAAGCCTGGGATGTCATCATTTCTCCCTTTAAGCACCCCTGCCTCTTGGGCTGAGAGTCTGACCTCTGTGTCAAGGAGGTAGACCAAGCAGCCAGGGCACTGTGCAGCCTCATGCAGAATCCCTGAGCTGCTGGGATCAGGTATCCCACATGCTGGTGTCTGTCAAACAGACTTCTGCAAGCATCATCAAGCTGCAGACATTTCTCTCTCTCTCTCTCTCTCTCTCTCTCTCTCTCTCTCTCTCTCTCTCTCTCTCTCTCTGTCTCTCTCTCTCTCTCTCTCTCTCTCTCTCTCTCTCTCTCTCTCTCTCTCTCTCTCCCTCCCTCCTCTCTCTTTCTCTGTTTCTCTCTTGAAATCTGGATCTCCTTTTACTATCCTTACTGTAGCCTGACTCTGAAACATACCTCTCAGCAATAGCAGTAGCAGCAGAGCCAGTGGCTTTGGCTCTTTAAACTCAGTCTGTCAATTTCAAATGTGTTTCTGGGCTGTCTTAACAGTGACACAGTTCATTTTTTTAAAAATGAAAACAAAACCCAGCTGGGCAATACTTCTCTTTGGTAAGGGAACAGAGAAGCAAGTGCAACACTTTGCACACTGCTAATTGACTCTCAGCTCTGTTCCAAGGGGCTGACCCTGCCGGCCCCTGGTGCCTGCCTACAGAGAGAATGAAGAGGATTGCCAATGACCAAAGAGAGAGAAAGTGTACGGCCTGGGAGGAATCCTCCTGAAAAACACAACCGAGTGGGAGAGGGAAAGGAGGGGGGGAGGTGATGGGCCAGGTGCAACAGCCCCTTGCTAGGGGCCAAAGCAGGGGCAGGAGTTACTCACGGGCGTGCCGGGCTCTGTGCTTGTGGGGCCTCCGGTGATCCCTCTCTGAGATCTGCTGATCTTCTCCCTGCTCGGGGCCTTCCGAGGAGAGGGGAAAGGAGACCACAGAAGGAGGTGCTTCAGCCCGCCCTCCTTCCACTTGAAAATCACCACACCCCTTTCTTCCTGCCCAGTTGGACCCTTCTGCCTTCTCTGCGTCGTAGGAGTAGTTGATGACCACTTCAGCCTTGGAGAGGTGGGGGGCTCCTGCCTCTCTCCCCTGGGTAACATGCAACTCTTGGCCACTAGAGAGCTGAATTAGCTTGTCACTGGGCCCCTGACCAGAATCCTCTTTCTCATCAGAGAAGGCAGACGTTCCTTGGCCAAACCCTCCCTGCAGCTGGTCTGGGTGAGGGTCAGGGGAGGGGTGGCTTTCAGCTCCTTCCGGGATAATCCCCACCGAGGCCCCAGGGTCTTTGTGTCTGTCAGGCAAGAGGGACAACTGCAGCTCCACCACGGCTCCTGGCCTGCCCCCTTCTATCTCCCCCAAGACTATTGACTCTGCCCAGGGTCTTCTTGGGGGGTGCAGAGCTATCTGGGGGCTTGGCTTGGTCTCTCCTGAACAGTCAGGGCTCTTTTCATCTTTCTGGCCAGGAAATGCCCTCTGGCTCTGGGTGCAGTGGGGCCAAATTTGCAGGCTGGTTCTCTCCACATGGTCCTCATGGACAAGGTGGTCATGCTCTTTGTTTGCAGTTTCAGGGATGTAGGTCTCATTTATTCCACTGGATGGTCTGCACACAAAAGATAATTCCAGACAGTTATGTTCATGGGTGTTTCTTTGAGGGGCTAGGCAAAGAATTTCTGACACTTTTATGAGGTCTGATAAATGTAGTACAAGATCAGTCTGTTTCTGCCTAAATGTCTACAGCAGTGACTGGGAAGAATGAGGTTGGTGGTATGTCCCCTTTCCCTCCACCCCCTTGAGAGGCAGCACATTGTACTGAACAAAGCACTGGCCAGAAAGGCAAGGCAACTTGGGTTCAAATCCTACCTCAGACACTTACTGTCAGTGTGACCCTGGGTAAATCACTTTAAGCTCTCAAACTCAGTTTCTTCATCTGTAAAAAGAATGGGTTGGGCTCAATGACCTCTAAGATCCCTTCCAGCTCTGGATTGATGATTCTATGATCCCTTTCTAAGAACTTGGCCCTAAAGCAAAGGAGAAACCCTCCTTATCACTTTCATTTCCAATCTCCATCTTGACTTTGTCTCCAAGAGCTGAGGGATGCCAGAACCATCTCTTAGATCCATGTATTTGGCATGAGGCCACCAACCCATCTGGATGCTTAACAGAGTTTTTCGGTCCCCATCCATATGTTTGATGTCACATAAACAAAGCCCAGCTCTTCCCAGACAGGGCCAAGAGCTCCCAGATAAAAGTGATCTAATAGGCTTTTGGGAGATTTTATTTTTGGATGGAATGGAATCAAAGGCAACATCTCTGACCACAGGAAACATTTGGTCTTGGTAATGAGTACCCCTTTCCACACTGCTGGGATTTGGGAGGTCATGGGTTATTAATCATTGGAATTCGGTCGCCTCCTTTGCTGAAGACACCTGGCCAGCTCATTTGTGTTTTCTATCACATTTTCTCTTTGGGAGCTTCCCTAGAAGAGAAGCCATTTTGACAGCTCATGGTAAAGGGGCTGAGTTTCTTAGCCCAGACCTTTGCCTCTGAACTCAGGCCCTCTTCTTCTGCTTGGCTTCTATATGTTTTGTTCTCACTGGGTAAAGAAGTATAGGTTAAAAGATGTTTAAAACAAACAAACAAAAACCTCCTTTCTCAAGTTCTAATTATAAAAAAGCAACTGTATGAACTTGAATTTTCCAGTTGCTAATGAATTTCTTCTCTGCTCCTTTCCTATCTCAGTCAGTCATATAAAGAAGTATTAAAGGGAGTTTATTCCAATGTTATGAGACTAAGAACAGTGTTGTATAAATGCTGGCTGTTATTATTATTATGTGTTTTATGAACCTTATTTCTTTTGGCCTTCACAACAAGCCTGGGAGATAAGTATTTTATTATCCCCATTTTACAGATGAAGAAACTGAAGCAGACAGTGATTAAAAAAACTAGCAAAGTAGGTGGGCTCTTTCTCTGCCACTCGTAATGTTACAGAGTTGTCTTTAAGCCTGAGAAGTAATATGACCTGCCCCCCAGTCACACAACCAGCATATGTCAGAGGAGAGATTTGAACCCAGGTCTTTCTGGGTTCAAGGCCAACTCTCTCTCTGCCATGCTGACTGTTTCTCCATGATGTAGGAGAGCTCAACCTTTTGTGCATTATGGACCAATTAACTGGCAGTGTGATAAAGCCTCTGGACCCCTTTTCAGAATAAAGTTTTTAATTGCATAAAACAATCTGTATAGGATTATAGAGAAAATCAATTACATCAACATAGGATTATATAATTTTAAGGATAAGTTCATAGACTCCAAGTTAAGAACCCCTGCTCTGCAAAGTAATGGATAGGGTTGCTTCCTCACATAAGCCAATATAAAAAATGCTTCATAAATGCCTATTGCAAGAAATGCAAATTAAAATAATTCTGAGATACCACCTCACATCTAACAGGTTGGCTAACATGACAGAAAAGGAAAATAATAAATGTTGGAGGAGATGTGAGAAAACTGGGATATTAATACACCGTTGGTAGAGTTGTGAACTGATCCAAACATTCTAGAGAGCAATTTGGAACTATGCCCAAAGGGCTATCAAACTGTTCATACTTTTTGATCCAGCAATACCACTACTAGGTCTGTATTCCAAAGAGACTTTTATAAAGGGGGGGCAGGGGGAAAGGACCTATCTGTACAAAAATATTTATAGCAGCTCTTTCTGTGGTGGCAAAGAATTGGAAATTGAGAGGACGCCCATCAGTTGGGGAATGGCCAAACAAGTTGTGGTGTTTGAATGTAATGGAATGCTACTGCGCTATAAGAAATGATGGGCAGGCTGATTTCAGAAAAACCTGGAAAGACTTATGAATGGATGCAAAGTGAATTGAGCAGAACCAGGAAAACACAATAACAGATATACTATATGATGATCAACTGTGAATGACTTAGCTCTTCTCAGCAATGCAGTGATTCAAGACAATACCAAAGGAATTGTGATAAAACACGCCGTCCACCTCCAGAGAAAGGACTGATGGAATCTGAATGCAGATTGAGGCATACATTTTTTTACTTTCTGTATTTTTTATGTGTGTTTTCCCCCTTTAGGTCTCTGTCTTCTTTCACAACATGACTGATATGATCACATACTTTGCACAATTGAACACATATAACCTATATCAAATTGTTTATTTTTGGGGGGGGCAGATGGAGGAGGGAGGGAGAAAATTTGGAGCTCAATTTTTTAAAAATGAATGTTAAAATTGTCTTTACATGTAACTGGGGGAAAACAAAATATTTAAAATAAATGTCTATTGCATTGAACTTTAATCTCTGCAGTGCCAAATATCCACTATTTTTCTTTGTATAAGGCCTACAAAGCATGCTTAGTACACTACTGTAAAAGCAGCCTGTCAGGCCTACGGGGGTACTAAGGAAAAAGGGGTGCACTGAGAAAGGGCACAGGTGAAATCAGCTAGAGAAATGAAGACTCTGTACCACCTATGCTTCTGATCGCTGGTTGTAGCTCATTACATCAGATTAGATCTTTCTGGACTAAGAAACAATATGCTGCATTCATTATATTCCACTGGAGGCTACTGGCCAGGTCAGGAGGTTTGTAATTTAGCCAGCCTCAGGGTAGGCTCTGGATTGCATCTCTTGGAGTTATGAGAGCCCTCCGCTGAGTACATACAGATATGGTAGCTTGAATTCATAAACATTTCCTTGTAGGTTAGAATACTTGGGGACAAGCCAGAGAAATGTTAGCCTTTATTGGTAGCTGAGGCTAGGATTATAGCATACATGCATTAAAAAACCAAACATTTTTTCATTTTAGAGATAGTGAGAGAAGAGAAATTCATATGCCTTAGGTGGTTATTTTCACTTCCATCAACACACAAAATTAATTCTATAATGTTTCCTGCTTTTAAGTCTGGTAATTTATAAATATACTTAAAGTCTTATTGACCCATCGACCTCTTTGCAGCCTTATGTGGACAATTTTTCAGGAGAAAAGAGATCTATCTTCTAGTGAGAATCAGTTTGATATAGTGGTTGGCCATGGAGCCAGGAAGATCTGAGTTCAAGACCTGCCTCAGACACATTCGAGATTTGTGACCCTGGCCAAGTCACTTCAACTCTCAATTCTCTAGATAATTCTTTCCAACCATGATTTACAGAGAAGGTACTGACCTGCATTGGTTGAAGGAGTTAATTTATCAAGAATAACCCTATTTCAATGAAATCCCAAATCCAGTCCTTATCCTCTGATGAGAGATGACATGGGCATGAGGGAAAGAGAACTATTTAATCTCATAAAACACGATTAATTTCAGCCTTATTTTGATTTGACATACTAAGAGATAACCCTATCCAATTAATGGTTTCTTTAAAAAAAAACAGTGTACATAATTAAGAATAACAGGTGAAAATTAAAAATAATAGAAGGAAAATTAAGCTGTTCATTGGGATCCTTTCAGAGACTTGTACTACAACCTTTCACTAGTTAGAATATAAAAGTCAGCGTCTGCCTCAAACTTTCAGGAATAAGAGTCCATTGTGATCAAAACAAAATGCAGAAGTGAGCGTCCCAGATTACAGATGAGTTACAATGGAATTTAACTCACTAAATCCATGAAGGATTTAGCCCTCCAATTGCCTAAAAAGGAGAGAAACAAGAGGAGAGAGCTTCTCTTCTTGAAGGAAAACAAAGTGCCCAAAGATGGCCCTGAGAGTCTTAGCCCTGGTCATTTCAAGCAGTGATCACAGGCAATCAGCTCCTTACTGAGTCCCTACTAACCATCAGGCACTCACTGCACTTGAGGACCTTAAGTATTTGCCTAGCTGAGCCAAGTTTAAACAGAATATTGGTGAAAATCCTTCTGCGATGGCTCATTGGGGTGGGGATGTAACTGCATGCTTGAAGGCTGGGCCAGCAGAGTGCCATCTTTGGCAGATACCACCAAGCTGGAAAGGAAGCACTAGAAGAGGACCTCGGAGACCATGTAGTCCAATACCCTCACTTTACAGATGAGGAAACTGAGGCTTAGAGATCTCCAGCTGGAAGTGACCTTAAAGGTTATCTAGACCCTTTATTTTACAAAGGAGGAAATGGAGGTCCAGGGAAGTTAAATAACTTGGGTGTTATTGTTCAGTCATTCCAGTCATGTCCAATTCTTTATGACCCCATCTGGGGTTTTCTTGGCAAAGGTACTGGACTGGTTCGCCATTTCCTTCTCCAGTGGAAACTGAGGCAAACAAGGTAAAGTGACTTGCCCAGAGTCATATAACTAGTAAGTGTGAAAGGCCAGATTTGAACTCAGGAAGATGAGTCTTCCTCACTCCAGGCTCGGTGCTCTATCCACTGCACCACCTAGCTGCTCTAAGCAACTTTCCCAAGGTCATATGAGTAGTAAATATAAGAGGTAGGATCTGAACCTAAGACCTCTGACCTCAGAGCTAGTTCATTTCTTTTTCCACTCTACATACATGTGGTGCTGTCATCTAAGGCCTTTGTGTAGAGAGGCTGAGTACCAGATTGGCCATACGCTAATCATGTTTATAGCCACAGGGGATCTATTATCTGCAGTGGTGGAAGAGACCCAAGAGGGA